GGAAGCTACTAGGGGCTCCTGGCCGTACTACTAGGAGCATCCTTACTAGTAACAAGAGGCTACGAAAGTAGCAACACGGCCCAGGTCCATCGCCTCCAATCTTGTAACCCACTTCGGTTCCAAGATTTACTCCTCGATCTGCAGCCACTCGACGCGCAAGGCTTGTGGCCGCAACACGGCGGGGCTGCGTTACCAAGATGTATCGCTCTGAGGGGTCTTCGTCAAGAATCATTTGAGGAATTCCTTAGCTGGCAGCATATTGGTTGTTTGGACCTTGAGGAAAAACAATGGAATCTCAATCTCATGTCAATATCTGCCAAACACTAACTGAGCTTCCAGTGCTTTTGCCACATCCAGTTGGCGCCACAATGATAGTGACTCGGTTGTCAGCCACTTCTTGTAGGATCTTTTCCCGAAGGCGACCCAATGGAGAATCCTCGTAGGATCTTTTGGGCTGGGGGTGCAATACGAGATGAAGAGTCTTGCTTTCGCTTTGGCTTGAAGCTGTAGATATCGGTGCAGATATCGGAGCTTCAGCTTGATGGTTTCCATGCTTCGTGTCCTCTTTGTCTCCCTGGTCTGAACTCTCCCGGGTTCCTTCAAACGTATCGTCAGCCTGCCAGCGGTGGCGCTCAAGAACACTGGCCACAAATGCCAAGACTCTTCGGAATTCCTGAGGTTCTGGATGCTGAATATCTTCCAGTGTCAAAGCCTCTGGTCGAAGATGACTAATCCCCGGGCATTGCACGAAGCAATGCTCAAGCTGCATCTCCTTCAACAGAGATTCTCCACAAAGCTTGCATTTGTCACAGCTTGTTTGGGCAAGCGCATACTGCCACATATCCTTGGTCTTTCGGAACTCGAAACTACTGAACTACAGAAACATCTCAGTTCATGCCTCATACAGTGAACCCCTATGTGGCACACACTTAAAGCCCAAAAACCGACATCATTTGTTCTACGGATACTGTAGCACTGAGGACTGTGGCAACTGAGCGCCAAACCTTGCATTGCTGTTTCCATTCGTGCGCCGCATTTCTGACCGTGTCTTCAAACTCTTTGCCTTTTGCATTGTAAGCCGGCAACAATCTCTCTTCGCAAAATGCTGAGAAACTCTCCGAAGACTTTGCCCTCACATCAAAGTAGAAGTCCCAAGGCTTCACCCGACCACTGTAATGCAAAACTTTCACGTTCTCCAATTTCAGCTGAAGACGCATGGCTTGAGGGCCCTCGTGCTCGCAGGATAGTGCCAACTGATGGAGTTGGTAGTTGTACTTCACATTCATTGATGTCCAATTCTTGAACCAACGACTCAAGAAATCTTGCTCCGGCCCGCTGCACACCTCATGCATTGGGTCTCGGCTCTTCACTGAGGTCAGAATCTTCTCCAATTCTTCCTTGCTGGGCTTCAGTACCGCTACTCCTAAATTCATGCCGAACTTTTGTCGACCCTCAGTGTTGTAGCAAGACAAGGAGACATCCACATGTGAGGGCAAAGCCTTGTGCCCCCTCCGCAGAGCACACGGTGGCTGGCAAGAACTCAACTCATCAATGTTGTCACGTACAAGGAGGTCGATGTCCAACAAAACCACTTTCTCGTAGTCATCGCAGCCAAAACATTGCAACTTGGTGAAGACGTGCTGGAAGCGGTTCTCGCTTTGGCAAATCAGCTTCGGATTTGCTTCCACATAGCTCACCTCTCGTGTCTTCCAAAAGACTTCAAGCAACCCAGCACCAGGTACATCCATGACATCGGCAGTGTGTAGGAGTACCATGTCAAAACTGGTTGAACTCACTTTCAAAGAATGCCCCAAGACCAGAGCTCCCAACACAAACCGTTGTAGCATATCTTGATCGGGCCCGAAGAGAACTGCCACAAAAGCATACCCTTTTCCCCTTGGACGTTTCATCTGTGGCTCCGCCGCTTCATTTCGGACTTCAAGTGGTTTCGCACAGGTCGGGCACCAGGTTTTGGTGACCCTTCTGTTGGGATGGACGTTGAGAATTGGTTGCTTTGCGCGAGAGGCAGGTGACTCCAGCCCGGTGATACGAATGGCATAAGCACCGTTGGAAGAACGCTGGGCCACTTCCAGTCGCAAAGGACATCGCTTGTGCGGGCATCGCACCTTCAAACTCTGGGGCTCGACCCCCAGGCACTCATTTGACTCGGGTTCGACCAAGAACTCCAACTACTTATTCTATCGCTACCTATTAAGGGAAGGGGGTGCTAAAAAAATGTAAGTTAAATTTCCCCTAGATTCCCTAGGGGGTGCTGGTTTGACACATCAAAGTTGTAAGTTTGCGTTTTGAAACTGGAGGAAAATTACATCGGCATAGACCCCAACACCTGCTCCTGCACCTCCACTTGCACGCCCCCCAGGAAACGCCGATCCAGCACCAGCACCCACGCCAGAACCACGCCGCAGCTGCAGCCGCAGCCGCAGCAGCAGCAGCAGCACCAACACCATCACGCCCCAAGAAAACGCCGATCCAGCACCAGCACCTGCACCTGGTGTTCGTGACGCCCCCGACCCAGCAAAGAACCGCAACGAAAACCCCCCCCGAAACCCCACTACACACACACACACTCCCCCTCCCAACCAACCCTGACAGCAAGAAGCTTTTCCAAATGTCAGGTTTGAAACACTTGAAAGCGCAGGGAGCGAAACAACAACTAGTTAGCTCCACCTGCCACACACAGCCCGTTACTTTGAAGCACCGGCGCGCTTCCGGCACCTCTTCAGGCTTGGGTTGATCGCGTCACCTTCATAAATTAACATGCACGGACAGTCACCGCTCACCCATGGCCATCCGCACCTAGTGGTCTAGTTTCTCGGATCCATGCTAACGACCGTTCTATGACATGGGGCGTGAACTGTCTGCGAATTAACATTTCACTATGAACTTTGGCGACAAGGCTTTTCGTGCCCCATCTCCAATTGCCTTCCTGGCTTCCTCACTCTCAAACCAAAGGCCATCAGCTTGGAGTCCTTGCTTAACTTCATCAGCCATCAGCTCTTATGACTTCTGCTTCTTCCAGTTGACTCGCTTGTCTCAGCAGGGAGGCAACACCTCAGTTTTAGGGCGTGAGCAGGTGTCTCACTCCATGCTTCCTCGATGTAGGCCCATGTGACCTGACTGGAATGGCGCGCAAACCACTGGATCGATGAAGAGGCGCAGCCATTTCTAGCCGTCTCCTTTATGCCGCTTTCCCCCGTGAAATGTCCAGTGATTCTCGTCCTGTCACACTCTTTTGCGAATCCTGCATCTTGCATCAACTCCTCATAACTTTGAGCTTCCGCCACCATGTTTCTTTTGTCACCCAATAGACCAGGTTAGACAAAAAATTGTCTAATAGACAACTTTCTTAAAATTTGTCTATTAGATAATTTTTTGTGATTTGTCTTAGACAACTTTATGTGACGAAAAGTTATCTAATAGACAAAACAAAAGTTGTCTAATAGACAAAAATCTGCTGTCTTAGACAAATTTTCGCGGCTGCAAACGAGGAAATTTCAAGGAAATTTCCTCGAAACTACCTCGTCTGTTTTTCAAAACTTCCTTCAAACTTCCTTTCTTTTGGTGGCAGTTTGGAGGTAGTTTGATGGAAGTTTGTAGGCAGTTTCAACCTGCAAGTGTGGAAGTTTGTCATGCACATGGACTGAAACTGCAATAATATGCAAATTTTGTAACATAAACTTCCTCATGCCTATGATGAAACTGCAAGTAAACTTCCTCAGTGCCTGTGGTAGTTTTGAGGAAGTTTTGATTTGTCTGAGACAAAAAAATTGTCTCAGACACAGCCAAAACTAGTCTAAGACTGTTTCTTCAAAATAGACTTAGACAAATTTTGAAAAGTTGTCTTAGCCAAAAATCATGTTGTCTTAGGCAACAAAAAAGTTATCTAATAGACAATTTTTTTACAAAATAGATCTTAGACAAAAAATAGTCTAACCTGGTCTATTGGGCAACAGTTTCTCTAACAGCTCACTCCAGTCTACTCGACGAGACTGCTCCTCCACGACTTGCTCAATGGCATGAAAGGGGATGTGAAGGGGCAGAACAGCTCCCTTCCTCTGCAGGTGCATCGCAAAGAGCGTTTGGCTCCTCGTCCGCCGGGATGGCTTTACTGACAGGCAAGGACAAGGTCACCACTTTGTCCTTGGTCTCGAGGTGGACACACATGGTATCCATAGTAAGGCCGCTTAATTCAACCTCACGCAGCGCAAAGATTTTGTACCAACCACCCAAGTCAAGAGACCAGCATTTTCGGGGCATCTTGACCCGACTCATTGTCATCGACCATCAAGCAGGCCACGCGCTGCCACGAATTCCTTCCACCAAGTCGGCTTGACCTCTTCCGCTCTCTGTACTGGACCCAACGCTCTCTCTCTCTGCGATCCTCTTGGCATCCTGTATAGCCACATTGAGTTGCGGCGAGACCGCAAACCCGGCTCTCACACGCCGATCACGGCTCATACACATAGCTCTTGACTGCTCGATACCCAGAGCACCGCAAAATTGCTACACTGCAAATCTTCTCACATTCCAACGGCAGTGGTTCTTCCCCTCGCGCTCGGCTGATTTTGCACCAAGCGCCTTAAGAGAGACTCCTTCGAGAGATTTGTCCCGGCTGCAAACACCAAGGCATCATATGCCTGCAGCGCCTCCTGCCGCTTCCTATCGCGCTGCGATATCTCTCTGGCCAGATGCAATTGACCACACCGAACTCCGTCCCTCCTAACCATCGGGGTCCATGGAGCATCCTGCCAGGTCTTCGTCAGTAATTCCCCACTGTGAAGTACCATTCTCAGACTGTTTCGGTTGACACACTTGACGGGCCCCTACCTTCATTTCGATCTGGAGTTCTCGACCTCGCAGCTTCCTCCTGGTTGGAGGGCCATCCCAAACGAGCTTGAGCAGCGATCATCACCCCCCATGGCAACTCTTCGACGGGCCACGTACTCCCTTGCCACAAGGGTTACGCGTCCAGTTCTTGAGCGCGCCGGGCTCCTTATATAAAAAGGACTAGGCATCCCACTAAGCCGCCAAGGCCTACCAAGCCTAGGCCCAAACAACCAGCCGCTTGAACTGGAGGAGGGCCCCCACTAAGGGCCCTCCTCAGTGACCAACTAAGCCTCCTCTAACCTTGGAACCCACACAGACCTGAAAACATCAGACAACTAGCTAGGTTTCCAGAGCCCTCTCTAGCCACCTGACAACGTCGGGCTTTCCTTTGTTCACGGCCTGTTAGGCCACGCACGGTAAAAGTCAGCACCTTTCCGGGGCCGGCAGCCTTTGCACATTAGCCAATTGCTTTGGCACCTCCTCAACACGCAGCCGACTAAGCTTGTCAGGGATCACATTCAGCGTTCCTGCCAAATGCTGCGCGATGATGGCTATATCAAGGCTTGGCACTCCACTTCCAGGAAGATCTCCGCAGCTAACTGTGTCGTGATGGGGCTGCCACCCTTGTAAGTCAATGCAGCGTGCAAGGTGGACGTGTTGTCACCACGTAGCACGACCCGCAAGCCCCCACTTGAGCTATCTTCCTAGCAAAGACTCAGCGCGACCAGCACTGCCAACAACTCGTACTCTGACTGGTATGCCGGGCCACCTCGCTCCGAGCCAAACAGACGAAAGTCATTGGCTTGCAGCTCTTCACCAAAATACGCAACCATCTGCCCTGCCACTGCCAACACCCCGCCAAGACGAAAGGGGGAAGGGTTTGTCTGGACTAATGCCGTAGCTGCATAGGGTCTCCATTTGTGCGCCTTGTACAAACCCACCCAACTGTGGTGTAGGCGCAGCAAAGCATGCAGCCAGCGTAAGGCATTGTCCACCTGGCGAACGAAGACAAGACCTTTCCGGCGCCGAGCGCTTCTCTGGCTCACGAGCACCATGGCAGCCCAAATCATGGACAGACAAGGGCAAGCTGCTGGCACGGCCGAAGAGAACTCCAACTGCATATATCCCAACAAGCGTATAGGCATAACGCCTTTGCAGCTTCGTAGCTCCTCCAGCGTCCCTAGGAGCTTGACCTTCTTCGCCTCTGCCCACAGCTCCAGGTTGAACCCGATCCAATTCAAGCTCCAGCCTCTGACCACCTTACGCCGCGACCCACATACACCAGCAAATGTCTAGTGCGCTCCTGAGGCGAGGCCGCTACTGACATCACCAGCGGGTCATCGATGTAGCAATTGACATCAGCGCAACTCTCATACCTGCGGCCGCCAGCCTACCAGTGGCCACTCCAAAGACGATGCACTTGCTCACGCAAAAAAGGGGCGGCCTCACTCATCGTTGAGCCCGAAGCGCAAACATCTCCACGTACACCTGTCTTGACTCTGCTGCCGACTGGTTGTTGCTCAACAGCTGTCTCACGCCGGCGACCACGTCGCTATATACTAGGCAGGTTGACCCTCTCTCGGCAGACGATCACGCCGTTGACTCCTGAGCGTCTTCCATCGAAGATCAACCTTGCCTTGACCGCGCCGTCTTCCTTGGTCTTCACCAGGCATCCGGCTTTAGTCAGCCTGGCCCCCGGGCCAAAACGGTCGACCACCTCCTGCCACGATGAAAAGACCTCAGCACGATCTTTCTCAACCATCTGGTCCATGAGCTCTTGTGCCTTGCTCGACTCATCCATGAAGCTCTTGTAGTTCATCATGTCTCCCAAGTAGTCCTGTATCACTTCCCCTTCAAGTCTAGACGCTTGGACAGCTGCTCTGTCCTCATGCGTCCGGGGAAAGACATGGCTATGTTCAATATCAGTCATGATTCTCAAAGGAAAACCTGCCGCTCAAGTCATGCTCCAACTCCTGGACCAACTCCTCACTGATCCAGCGGTCACCCACCAGGCATAGTCGCTCACCCACACTGCGAAGGCTTGTCGAGCGTGCCACCGCCCTTTTTGCATTCCGTAGCCCTCCGACTGCATCACACTGTTCTCACGTTCCCTTCTTTCAAGCAACGTCTCATTCTTCTTGTCACTCGCTTTCCTGGCTCTCTTAGTCACGGATCCAGCCAGCGCCAGCGCGTTCTGCCACTTTCCCACCAAGACGTAGCTCCGCTCTTTCATCCACTGCAGTCCTGCTGAGCTGCGCAACCAACTCAACAGCTCCCTTGACCGTGCTACTGTGAGGCCACAAGGGTGCTCAGCAGCAAGGTTGAGAAACCCACAAGACCATTTTGAAGGTTGGAACATACGGCCTTGAGTTGGGTCTGTCGGTATGTGAGACGCTGGACCACGGCCACTTTGCGCCTCCTTGCAAGACGCTGACGAGGGCCAGACGCTCTGACGGGTTTGGAGTTGCCAAGGCTTTGAGATCGGATGACTATCTGGAAGGATGGGGAGAACCAGAGTCAGCGGAAGCCAATCGCATCTAGCTCTTCCAGTGTCCTTGTGAAACCTGCAAAACTTGCAAAGAACTCGCCAAATCTAAACGGGCGCTGTACCAGGCTCAGCTCAAATTCATGCTCCATTGCGTGGCTCCAAATTCAAGCATGCATCTTCCCGTGCCCATGCCTCATCTGCCATAGGCAGGGGCTCTTCTTCCTGTCACTTCTTGTTGCCCTTCTTGCCCTTCCCCTTCCCGCCGCCCTTCTGCTGACACTGGGCGTTAGGATGGGAACCCAGGCAATATTGGCAGCAATGCGTCCTCTGCTGCGGACAGGGCTCACTGCAGGATCCGACTGGTCCTGTCTGGAACTCACGACCTGCTTTCCTTGGATGACCGTCGCCATCTCCGCTGGACGTGGCACTTCCTTTTTGTAGCCACGGTGGATTGCCAAACCTCTGACGGCGACTGTCTTCCTGCAGCTTCTCAATTTTGTCTCTCTGGCGTCTCTTGGCCGTTTTGGATGTACCTTCACCTGGGGCTCTATGCGTGGCAGCTGACGCGGCATCACTGATCTGCGACTCCTCGGCCTCCTTCTGCGTCATGTTGCATCCACTTGCCGACAAAGCACCACCTCTGGCCAAGAATGTCTGAGCCGGCCTGACGACTGTTCTGTGGCAGCGCGCAGCAAACTGCGTGACACCAGCCCGGGGTCAAAGTCCAGATTCATGGGGGGCCGGCCCTCTGTCCTAGCCCGCGTGAGCTCTCTGTGAAATCGATCCAACTGTTCCCCTCAGCATCGATCCTCAGCTTGCATCACTAAATGCCATGCTTCTGGGAACTCGTCAAGCAGGTCCGACACCCTGTTGAAGTACTAGCAACTGTCATGACTGGAATCGTAGGTCTACCCAGCGCCGTGTTCGCCGGGCGCTCAACATCAGCAGGACAGTCTTGTAAATCTTCCAGCAAGCACACCAGGCCTGGAATGTTGGATGTCCTTGAATTTCGACAGACTTCCAAGATCCATCCTGCTGTAAAAGGAAGTTGCGAGCCGTGGCCTGCTTTTGCATCCTGCGGCCATAGGGAGTGAGCACCGAAAAGTCGGCGTACGGTGCCTCCAATCTGACCAACACCTTTGCGCGCATTGCCGCGATTTGTTCAAAGGATGGGTCAGATTCTGGCAGCGGTTCAGCTCCCACTGGCTCACGGTAGTTCCTGTAGGCCTGCATGGTCCACATCTGTAGTCGATTGAAGTGGGAGACACAGGAACGGAGTCCCTATGGTCCCTGTGTGGAGGTTTACTCGGGGTGGCAGTGGGACATGGTGCCAGTATAGGGTGCAGGCAAGAGATGAAGTAGGTGGTAGGGCAGGCGTGCTGCATCGGCTACGTGGAATCCCCAATGTGAGGGGGGGCAGGGATGGGGTAAGCGTTAGAGATATTGAAGGGGGTGGGGCAGACAGAGGGCATGGTGACTCCACGGTGTGCTGCATCGGCTACGTACGTGGAACCCCCATGTGGATGTTAAGGGGCTGGAGGACGCAGCAGGGACGGGGCCATGGCAGTGTAGACGGGATGGAAGTAGAGGGTGCAGGCAAGAGCAGCCGAAGACATCTTCACCTTCTCGGTGCCTCAGCGTTGGATGTGACCGGTCTTGCTACTGAGGGATCTTCCACTAGAGGGTCAACATCCGGCAGAGCAAAGGTCTTCCTCGCAGCACGCCGCACCAATGCAACCTGAATGATCTCTACTGCATATAGCTCTCATTCAGGCACAGTCGCAGCTGCAGGAATTCGAGTGCGAGAGGTGGCAGTATGCAAGGTGCCCATGGGGAGCGTGGCCATCAAACGGCCAGACGGCCCAAACCGCACGGTCCAAACCTGCCCAAGTCACAACCCGAACAATGTTGTCGCAAGAGACTTCGTGCCGCCATAACTCAAACCTTGGAAATCTTGTGGCCCCAACAGGTGAGGTGTCAAAGCCACTTTAGCAGCACGGGGTCGAAGCCGCCACCGCACACCATGCCCAGCGCGAAAGCGACCAAGAGAAAGCACTCCAAGTACATGGCACCAAGCAATAGGTCCTTGAGCCAAAATGGAAACCAACAAATGGCTCAAGAACCCATCCACCAGTGTGTTACGTTTGGGTCGTTTCCTTTCACCATGGCATGGTTCCAAAAAAAAGATTCAACACTAGCACCCGCGCCAACACCCATACAAACACCAATACCAGCACATCGCAGCAAAACGCCAATCCAGAACCATACCATGTCACTGGCATAGACCCCAGATAGCAGGTGTATAGGGAAAAGCGTGATAGTGCCTGAGAGAAAGAACCAATGTCTAATAGCGTTCCGTGTCAATGAGCGGTGCCTGGCATGACATGATGTCATCCCTGACATGACATGACATGACACCATGTCATCCATGAAGGGAAACGATGCATACCGCAAGGCAATACATGCACAATATGAGCGGATATTGTCCCTGGCATGACATGATGTCATCCCTGGCATGACATGACTTCACCCCTGTCATGAAATGATGTCATCCAATGATTTCATCCCTAGCATGACATGATGTCGCTGGCATGACACCATGTCATCCATGAAGGGAAACGATGCAAAGTCCCCAAACGCAGTCGATCAGTGGAAAACCCAGCACCAGCGCCCGCACCAGCACCAGCACGCCCACACAAAACACCAGCACCAGCACGCCACACCAGCACCTGCACCAGCACACCGATGTGAGCACGAGATATCACAGTGGCAATTCAAAAGCTGAAAGCAGCGTTTAACTTCTGTTTTCGCGCCTCAAACGTGTGCAAAATGTAAGTTACCACGTGCCTAGGTGGTAAGTCCTTTTACCACCCCCTGCCCCCCTCCTGAACTCTGGGCACTCACCGGTGAATACCCGGGGAAGCCCTGCTGAACCACTGACAGCCAACATCACTCGCAAAAAAAGTTAAGTGTCCACCGGGAAAGCCATAGGTGCAAAAGTAGGGGGGTCCAACTTACATTCATGGGGGGCCCCCATACATGTAAGTTACATGTTTTTAGGTCCCTCCTCAACAACCTAAGGTAAGGGGGCGGCGATCTTACCCTACCAAATTCTACCAACAATCATAGATGTTCTTTGCCACGTCTCAATCAGAAGGGCTCTATGTTGCTCTATTTTGGTTGAGAGTGTCACATCGGATGCTACTACCCCTTGATCCTTTGAGCTTCAGCAGATTCCCTAAGGAAGAAGCCAACATAAGCATTGAAAGTCACTCGCAAGTAACATCACAAAATGGACCGCTAACTTGACAGACATGCTTTGTAACAAAGGCATACCAAACCCACTGGCCGCCTCTTCAACTCCTGGCGCAATGCGCAGTGGAGATGGGAACTTCGCACCCCTGCCAGTCAATAGCGTTGGTAAACCAGGTGGACAAACCTTGTCGATGACCACGTTCCTGCTGACATCTTTCACAGATCTTCGGAGTTAATTGGACCAGTAGCAACGTGCATCCCTACTAGGAGCAAGGACGCTACTAGTAGCTCCTGGCCCTACTACCTGCAAATAACTTGATCTACAGTATCCTAATTATCTAGCTTTCACTTTGCGGAATCAAAGATCAAAGACTTGGGCCTCTCTGGAACAGACGGTTCTGGCTCTGCAGTTTGAAGCTCACAGGGTAACTCCGTACCAAAGCCATCAGCTGGTATGAACTCTTGAGAACCCGCAGAGAAGCAAAACTTGATGACCTCAAAGTCAAGCACTTGTCCAAGTAGTTTTTTGCAAGGGAACGGCCACAGCTCGGGACTGCAGCATCAAAGCCAATCGTCTCCAATCTGTGAAACAAATAGTATGGCCAGGAGCCCCTAGTAGCTTCTTGTTCCTAGTAGTATGGCCAGGAGCCCCTAAGTCTCGCACATGTTCCCGCACCCAATCTTCTGAGAAGTGAAAATCATTGACCGTGCCAATGTACTCCCGAAAATTGTCGTTGGAGACAATCTTCACGAGACATCCGCTCTTGGCAGCATCCACAGCTTTGCGGATGATGAACTTGTCCACGTCCTCCCGCCTTGGAGTCACAGTCAGACACTGAGCAAGATCCTTCATGTCTTCCGCGTGGTCCTTTTGCCACTTCTCCATAAGTGCCTTGGGCAAAGCTCGCAAATCCATTGGCGACCGCTGCGACCCCTGCCAAAAGAAATATGTAGAAATCTCAGCCAGCCTGGTAAACAAACGTCTCCACTTTCCAGTCTGGCCGATGTTCAATATGCCACTTCATAGCCGTGCTCAACTTCTTCAAATTCGGTCTGTCAGGGCTTTCACCTGGCAAAGACGTGTTATATATTGAAGATTTACTGAGACTTCAATCTCCACAGTTGGGCTGCGGCTACAACCCTGTTTCTCTCATCTGCTTGGCTTTGTGTTTGCCTCCTTGGCAAGCGATGTTGCGGCCGTCCAGCAAGTAGAGTTTCTCAAGCTCCGGAGTCCCACACCTCGAGTCAAGAGCGGAGGGCGCGGAGCGCAGAATGCCAATGTTCTGCCCACAGAACGCGCCTGCTCGGTTCACTGGGTGGGGAAGGTAGACTCAATTGACCTGAAGGAGACTCCTAGCTGTACTTCTTTCAAGGAGTCTCGCTTCTTTCAAGGAGTCTCGCTCTGTATGTAGCAATGGCCTCCAACCTAATAGCTTCTCGTTCCTAGTTAGTAGTAAGGCCAGGAGCACCCCTAGTAGGGTTCCTTGCTCCTAGCAGCGATGCCTTTGCTCCCAGTAGCTTCTTGTTACGTCTTTGCAAAGGACACTGCAGACAAGATTAAACGATTGCATCATCCAAGGGACTATCCGTCGCAGTGGAGCTTGCGGACAAGTCCTCCCAGGTTGTGACAGCCAACCAGCCAACGTGGTCGTGCTAGAAAGATTCTTCTATATACGGATGTATCAAAGAAAATCGAGCCGATTCGGGCCTTCTCTGCCTTCTCCTTCAAGTTCTCAATGCGGTCAATGAGTTTCTTCCGCTCACCCAGCTTCATTTGGAACTCCTCTTTCAGGTCTTCAGTCCTTATCTAAGCGTGTTGCACAGCATACACAACACCAACCTGAGTCCGAAACAAATGTATCTGGGTTGATACAACTGACGCATTTGAACTTCATGGATCACCAAGCTCAACTGGGCGGCGTCAACCCAAGAAGAACCTCTCCATCCACCCCTTGTTCACGGAAGCCATCGACCAGCTGGGGAAACCCAACTTCCGCCAACCAGTTGGAAACTTCCTCGACTCCCCACTTCGCGGTCACCATCCCTAGTTGGCCACAAAGCGTCTTGGAAGACTTGGGAAGCTGAAGGCTGCGAGGAACACATCGGGATGAGTTCTCACGCAAACCAAGAACGAAACTCAGAATCCAAATCACATCTTCACTTTCAAAAAAGGACAAACGACTCATGGCGTTTGCCATGGTCCGACAATCTTCCAGCAATTGGAACAACTCCAATGTGCTTGATGTGCTTGACTGGTTCAATGATCTCCGAAATTGTTCTGAAACCCCCAAACTCGGTTATTCGGTGCAAGCTTTGGCACCTACATCCACTTTGTGATGTGCTTTGTTACATGGTGAGATTTTCAGTCAGCTCTCACGCGAAGCCACAGCCTCTAAACTCTTGTTTTGACCTCACGTTGAAGGCTGGAGTAAGGGAACTTGGGAGCGATTGTATGAACGGAAAACCGGGAAGGAACAAAAGGATGCAAAAAGCTGGCTGGAAGGGAACTCCCTTCAAATGTTGAGCACATGAAACAATTGCAAATGCTGGGTTTGCTGGCTGTGGTGGATTCAAAACATCCTGGTCTTTGGTCAGGTATGATCGGCCTCAGAGTCACACAAAACGACGTGATGCCGACTGTACACGATACTGAATGGACATAGACAAAGCCAGAAAGCTGGTTGAAGAAAAACACGCACTTGCCGTGGGTCAGAAATGTTCAAATGTGAGTCGCCAATCATGGTCTACTCCTTTGCTGGTCTTTCCGATAAAGTTGCTTGGTTTGCTCACATCTTTGGGTGAAGTTGTTGCTTTTAAAGTGCATCCCACTTGCACTCACTCACTCCCTCCCTGCCCTCCCGTGGGTTATTATCCAGTCCTTTAGCTCTATCCTTACAGATGCACACCGACGGTTTCAGTATGAACATTCCCGGAATTCCAACGGTTCCAGTGTCTTCAATTCCATCTTCTGCCGGCGTGGCACTCCGTCGCTCACTTCGCGTTTCTGTGTAGCTGATTTGCTTCGTGAGGACAAACCTGGTCAAAAAAATGTGGGTCTGAGGTGGAATGGTTGCGACAGGACTGCTTGTGACTTTGCAAGACACCAAACGCTATTTTTTTCACCAAGGTGGTCTTCCATGACATACTGTTCTTGTATGTTCTTGCAAGAAAGCATGTCCGATGCAGACGCTGCACTCTGCTTTGCAGCAAATACAAACAACCAGACTGGAAATTCCAAAAACAACTCCTCCTTTGCAACTATGTTTCTGCAATGCTACAAGATCTTAAGGCCTCGAGCTCTTTATACTTTGACCCTTTTCCATCCAACACTCCGATGTGGTCCAACCTCTTCCATGCAGGAAGCAGCAAAAGCACTATGGCCGCCGACAAGAGAAGGCGAACCACTGGTGGGTTTGAAAACCTTTCAGCCAGCAGGATCTTTGTCGGAAAAGAGGAAACGTACCCCCACCCCTCAAAACTAAGGAAACCTCATCGGTTCAATAGATTGGGGCAACGAAAAATCAATTGAAGTTGTCAAGGTGATCTCTCGGGTCAGTGTAGGCAGAAGTGCAAGACACATCGAATCTAGACTGCTGGTAAACCCTGGACAATCCTGGACATGATGCATCATGTGCAGGGCCAGCAACGAATGAGCGGCCACTGCAACGGACTTGTTGAAAACGGGCTCCCAAGAGACGCCAACAACCACTCCCAAAGCGATGATGACATCCCTGCAGAAAAGTAAAAGAAACGAGAAACAAGCAATTTCCATACATCTCGGTCCATGTCGGTAATTCAGCAGGATTATCACTGCGAGCAAGTCTCTTGAATATTCGCCCAGCTCCGCCAAGACTTCGTACCCCTAATGTGAACCAACAAAGTCTTCAAGAACATGTTGGCACTCAAGCAAGTGGAGGTGCGCACTGTGTGCACTATGAGGACTCCACTGAGTCTCGCACGATCTTCAATTTTGTCCAAAGGGAGGATAAGAACAAACGATGCTGCAGACATAGTCAGAGCCTCGGATGCTTGATTGACAAAAACAGCTGCAAACGGATGCAAACTGCTGCGAAAGAGAGGCGAAGCAAGAATGAGAGATTGAGGGGGTTGCTTGGCCCCAATTTGAGGGGGTTGCTTGGCCCCATTTATAATGACACAAGCGTTTGGTTTTCAGAGCGAAGGATTGATTAAGTGTTCAGTCTAATCTCGACGAACCTTGTGGCATTGATACAAATGGATGAAGACTGCAATACCGAGTGATTGTCACAGAACTTTGTTGAATCTCATGTCAACCTGCAATCGCCCCACAACGGCCTCAATCTTTGGGAGAGCTCATGGATTTCGTGCACACATGTGCACACCCATAAAGAAAGTTGTCCACTGGATGTTCAGAATCTGAGTGACTCATTGCTGGTTCTGCAGAAGTCCAGTATGCGTTCTGAACAGAATTCTGGGGGCACCTTCCAAAGATAGCTTGAATTGCGGCGCGACAAAGATGCAATACCATTTGAAGACAAGACTTCTATTGCAAGTTATCCAGCGCTGTCACTGTTGGTTCCTTTTTCCCTTACCTTGGAACCAGTGGAGCAGGAGTATCCACCCTTGGCTTGGAAGTAGGTAACTTAGGGCTTTGACTTGAGTACTCTGTAGCTGTACCTCAATAGAGGGAACAAAAAGCACTCGGTGTCATTAATAATTAACACAGGGTAGACAATTAACTGAGACAGAGTATTTCGATTAATACAAGGACAAAACCATTGACTATTGACTAGCAGGGAACAGGTTTTTTTAGATGCATCCTGTTGGTTCTTGCCTCTCTCGTCAATTTCAGCTCAGACTCGGAAGCGAGGAGCACGACAAGAGATGCCGGCAGCAAAGTCACCACTTGCTTCTGCCCAAATCGCAACTACGAATGGATTCGGATAAGACGATCAGAAGCATCTGCATACAACGGCATTGGTGTGTCGACGCCAGCAATTGTGCAAGCGGTACAAAGGTATGACGTGACAAAAGCAGTCCTTGCACAAGTCAACGATGGTCCACTGGACGGATCGTACAGCGCACCAGCTGAAGACCAACGAAAGTGCTGATTGTGAAAGTTCACGGGTCTGGCAGCAATGGCAAACAAAAACAATGTCTTGTGTCTCATCCCTCAGTATTATCCTTAGAGGACCAGCGGAAGAGATGTTGTGCATCGGCGGCCTTGGTTCGCCAAGCAGTCTCGTTTGGCTTTCTCCTCCATGTGACAACAAGCACGACAGAGAGTACCTCAGGGGGCAGCAAGCTCTTTAACATGTAAAAATACACTACGGACTAATTACCCATCGCTATTGGGTTGGAGACCATCGCTCTTACAGTATATAGGTTGCAGGTCATCGCTACTAGGGTGGAGGCTATCGCTACGACTTGCCGGTGATGTGAGAGCATCTTGAGCGCTTGCGTGGCCAGGTTGCCAGAATGGCCAAGCCACTTGCAAAGATTGCCAAAGCCCTGTTGAGACTGAGGGAGGACGGCATCTGGTAGAGTTCAAAGTTGCTCTGCATGCCAGTAATACCGAAGGCCAAACAGGAGACCAACAAATATGAAGCTGACAAGCCAAGAACCTTACAAAGTCGGCTGGAGAGTGTTCTCAGGACTTGTCAAACAACATCAAGCAACGCAACAGGGAGTATACATAGTCATTTTTCAGTGTCCATGCCAAGTGTCATCAATCTCAGCATCATCCACAGCTTCGAAGAACAGGTCGACTAATTTTTCCATTTTGCCCCTGCAAGTGAAAAGCCTGACCAGGGGGCAATGCAGAATGGCTTAGTCCGAGTCCTTCGAAGCGGAAGCACTGCAACTGAGGCTCTCAGCGAACCGAAAAGCAAGGAAAACTCCGAGCAAATTGATTACCACGGCCAACCTGACACAGTTTCTGGTTCTGAACACCTCACACAACAAGGCAACAAACCTGCAGATGGCGGTCACAGCAAACAAATCAAGCATTTTGCAATCATGGTACAAGCTGCACAGAGCATTTTGGGCGAAGAAGGAAACGTGCATCAGCGCCACCTTGATTATTGGACTATCCAAAACCAATGTATACAATAACTCTTAAGTTATACATGTGTTTGTATGTTTCAAAATATCATTGAGAATCTGCACGCGTGCAGAAACCGACACAAGAAGCGCATTGTTCTCCGCGTGAAGTGAGAGACTTTTTTTTAAGCCTGCTCCCCCCTCCAGTAGGCGCCTACTTAATTAAGGAACTGAGGTAGCTAGTACCTACGAGTAAGATCAAGCAAGCTACTACATATGGACGCAGGATAGCTCACGCTTCTATTCATCCTAGATCTTTAGGGAAGCTTAACTATAGCCAAGATGCTCCAGCATATGTTGCCGCAAACGCTGTTGTATGAGAGAAAAAGACCAGCAGGCTCCGCATTCCTCAGACGGTCGTGCTGCAAATGAAGAAGAATCGACCAACAGCAGTTGCTGCTCCCTCCATTCTGAAGGTAGCGAGGCTTTGGCGGCAGAATCACTAGAGCCTAGGGTTGTTCAGCACTACCCTTGATTGGAACTTGTTGGTGAGATCATTGGGGCATGATGACTGTCTGGCTGGATCTGGCTGGCCAGGGAAGGTGGTAGCACCCAGTGTAAGCCCTTACTTACATTTCTCGGTGGCCCGCAGTATTGCATGTATCTGGTGAGTCAGGAGAGAACTTGAGAAAGCCCAACTTTTGGGAAATACCCCATGAAGAGCAACCGCCTCGCGTTCAGTTTCCCGACAGACACGCTTCCCTAAACTACTTACAGCACTGTGGCACTGTGGAGTCGTCGACCCTCACACCACAATCAATTGTTCGGCAAATGTGGAATGACTCGCTCAGATACCCATCTTACAAAATGAAAGTACAGGCAACACAACACTGCTGAACTCCATTCCTCTCTGAGCTGCGACCCTCGATCTCTTCCATAGCCAAGTTCCGTTGCCTTGACGCAGTGTTGAAATGATTTTATAATTTACATCGTATGATGATACATGTGTAATACATCTAAAGCCTGTTCAACGTGGTTCCACGCCTGCAAAAGACCGGATGGTTGTCATCGTCGGTTGCAATAGCCCGGCCCCAGCCTGGGTAGAAGGGATTCTTCACAATGACAAGGAAGACTATATATTCCCAACGGTGTAGCACAACAGACAAATTGAACGGTACCGAGCTACTGCTTGTTGAAGACCTCAGGTCTTTAGGTAGTTCCGTAACTCTAAGTGAAGCATCTATCTATTTTGTGTGTGACTTCCATCTGTACCGAGTCTCGCTTGTAGACAATGCGAGATGCATCGACCAGATCCTCGGCAAACGGAATCAAGAGTCACGGCTTTGGGACGGCACTGCCGCACCTTGTGACTTGTTTTGATGCTTTTCTCTCTTCCTCTTCAGACCTTTAGTTTAGAATCGTTTAAAGCCTTCAGAATCCTTTAGAATCCTTTCGACCTGTTTCTTTCCTAACTTGTTCATGTATTGTCTTCCTTCTTGAGTCTTTCTCTACAGAGGTGCCTTGTGACTTGTCAGCATCTCGTCTTCAACAACCCAGTCTTCCTTGGCACAAAGGCAACGTGGTTGTAGCAAATCTTTTTCCTTGGCATTGCGGCTGGACGAGTGGCCATCTCAAACTCTTCATCCGGTATGGTGGAGCAAAGCACCCCTGATGAGAAGCCTGCACAAATCTGCTGCGGCGATAGCTCAAGAATGCCAAAACGAGGCCGTTCCCCAGATGTCATCAGATGACCGCAGATGATTCGCTGAGATCAGCTTGCATCAGGTTCACTTCACAGGCCACTGCTTTAGGTGAAGGACAAAGAATGCCACATTGTAATCTGCCAGCAAAGCCCTGCCTATTGCCACAAGAAGAGCTCCAAACCAGAGAATGAACCTGAGATCGCTCCTGCATCCTCGATGCATCCAACAGATTCTATCTCTCACCAAGACACATTGAATACCCAAGCATGCACCGCACTCCTTGGATGCTGGGCAACAAATGGATTGTATCATGCTCAAAGTACTTGTTGCAAGCCCCGATTGCGTATCAATCGGACTTAAACAGGTGGCTCATGAGCCTTCAATGCAAACATAACATATCTATTAAATCTATGTATACAGTAAGTATATAAATATGTCATAAATATATGTTCCGTTCGAGACTCCCACATCAGCATCGGCATTGACGAGCCCTTCCAGCCAGTTTGTCAGGTTGACAAAGGCAAGCAAAGATGTGAAAATGGACAGTGCCATACCTCGAACATGTGCTTTTTGACAGCTGGCAATAAAAATTGGTCTTCAACATGAAGAGCATGGAGGACAAGGAAAAGGTCTCCGCATACAGCCCGAATGATCCCAAATCGGTGCAGTACACTGGGCTTGAAGCCACGGTACTGATGACATCCCAAGCGTAGCGTCTGACATCATCGTCGTTCCAGTTCACCAAGTACACTGCCCTGGGCGACGATTAACACTGGGGGAGAGATTCTTTCATGACATGTTCAATAAACAAGCATTGGATGTTCATCACAAGAACACGTTCATGCAGAATCTACAACGACTGCATGCAGTGTGTTAGCCAAGCTTCATCAGAGAAAAGGCTGTAGTGCTCAGCAATGTATAAGACACTCCTTGTCCTTCTTCTGAAAACTCCTGATCTGCCACGCTTGAAGCTACAAGTTGGTAGCCGTAGTCATGGGACTGTCTGCATTATCCAGTACTGATATGGAAGCAATCCGATCAACCGAGAAAAAGTACATTTATAGCGCATCAGACAGAGCACAAGGAATGTGTCCATTCTAACATGCAGCCACAGTCCTCTCTTCGGACCTGATACACAAGTTCAATTGTGGACATCCGAACGATTCACCGTGATTTGCCACCTATCTTTTTCCTACAGAAACATACAGAAACTATATACAGTAACCTGCTGGCATGCATGTGGCATCTCTGCTCATGCGGTGTCATAGTTGTATTACCGAACATGGGAAGTGCAGCTAAGTGTCCTCTGCCAACTCAGCCTGTCGCAATTAAATCATGGGGTCAGAGATTCAATTCAGGAAGAACCAGTCAAGTTGCCAGCCTCCTGTGAGGGCACCGCAGATGTAGCTTGCAGCCACCTTGAGAGCCTGTCTCCAAAACGAGGCACCTTCCTGACACCTACGTGCGTACGAAAAACCTACACATGTACATGTACTCATATTCTCCCTTGTTGACAAGTGGTATTATACACATATTCAATCTTGCTGACAAGTGATAACTATTGTTCACTAGGACCTACATCAGCACGATTCAGCACGTCCTGGGTAGCATGTCAACCCATGAAAATTGTTCCTAGCGATTGATTTGTCGATGTTGATACGCTTCTCCTACTTACGATCTCTTCAATACAGGAGCAAACTAACACAATCTTAGGATATCTTAGAAGCATTCTTTCTCTGTCTTCATCGGGATACGAAGACCTGTCAGCATGATATGTCTCATCCAAGAATTGGCACAGAGTATCAGCAACATTGTGTGGTGCCTGACATCAAGCTGCCCCTCTGCACATGCGCACAAGGCCTGGGCCCAAGGGGAGTCAAATCACATGAGCGAGACAACAAAGGGCAAGGGGAAAACACAAAGGTCATGAAGAAAAGACCTGTGTATGGTCATCCAGTACGTGTGATTAATGAGCAACTTGCAGCTTCAAGTGATGCATGCATCCCATCAGTCCCTTGAATTGAAAACCAAATCCTTCCCGTCCCCCCAGTGGCGCATATCTTTACAAACTCAAAAGTCAAAATGAGCTGAAAGGAACCTGCCTGCTGCCACTGTCCACCCCACCCCAGCAAATGGCGGAAAAGAAGCACTGTGCAGCAGAGTTTCGACTAAGTAGCACCAAGGGAGAGGCCGCATCGCAAATGGCCAAGAATTCTGTAGGTTCTGAGCCATTTCACTGACGCCGTGCAATGACGAACTGCAATGCCGCGTTGGATGTCGATGAGCACATGCAACATGATTCACCAGCCAGTGAACAGACAAAACAAAAGGTGTGGTCAGCTAAATTTCAAGCGGGGAAAAAGTACAGTGCAGTACTGATTTTCGCCTACTCCTCTCCCTCCTAGTCTAGAAGAGAAACGCCTGACTCCTCTCAGAGTTGAGAAGAGACAACGCTGCTCGGCACGAGCGAAGAAATGATGAATTGTGCATGTTCAGTGCACTCTGCGCTGAGCCTAAGTGAAAGACTCTTTTAGTGTTCTTCCACTGCTGCTATTTGCTACTTGCTCCTGCAGGCCCTACCGAAAGCTGTTATTTTTTCAAAAGGGCTCTGCTAGCTCTGTCGAAGGCCACAACAAAAGACTGGAACGCGATTACATCAGTGAAGCTGCACGACCACGCAGCAGGTGTTGATGCTTTGTAAAGTTACCGTTTGTTGTATTCGCAGTAGGACCTTAGGAAATCTCCATTGAGGGCATGGCTGTGCAGGCAAGGGGCAATGAGCCTAAAACATGACACACTGAGAGGCTTCTTTAAAAAGCATCAGGGTGTCAAGGAACAAATGTGCAGAAACCAGCAGTCATGTCGAGATGCATGAGGAAAAAGGAATCTCACGGTATTAGGGATCATGCGCCGCATCTACACAAGAGAGTTGCAAGGGCTGCAAGGGCTGGAATCAGCTACTATTTACAGTATTTACACAATCTACAAGTCATCATGCTTGCCAATTAATTCACAATCCAGAGGCTGGAAGCCTCTAGTGAACTGGATCGTGACTCCAAATCTTGATTTGTTCAGAAACATGATGCTGCTGATTCAGCATCCTCGACCACCTGGCCAAGCACAGTCACGACTCAAACGCTCGGGACCTACCAAATAAAGTTGGCAAAGGTAGTGTTTCCCGGTGTTTCGCATTCTCCTATGAATTTATGTTTGGGTTTTTCGACTTGATTCAAAGCAGAGGGGCTCACAGCAAGAATTGGTTACTGGGCAATGTGGGCACGCCTGTTGCTCAAATGCATTGCCCAGTTTTGGCATAAGTTCCTGCCCAGCAAACACAAACGAAAAGTCTACTAGGCAGAAGACAGACACTCTCCGAAGCCAAGCTGGGCCCAGGTGTGATACAAACTAACGGAGTGGGTTGGTGCGTAGGCTCCGCTGCTCAACCAGGTCTTCTTAGGAGCTCCATGGTCCATCTAGCGTATTTTGCTACTGTTTTGTGTTGGAGGATAATGGTGCTTTGCACTTCTCAATGAAATATCAGGGTCCTTGCGCAAAGCATCGCCATTTAAGACACTCAAGACCTGCGAAATCAGCAGAAGCATCATCAAGAAGGCGAATGGATAAAGCAAGCCAAAGGCAAATTGGAACGGTCAGAAAACAGGGCAGCCCAACCATATTCTGGAAACAATGCACTGGCAAGTCGTACTTTGGCAAGAACTGGGAATGCATGCCTCGCGATGTTGCTGGTTGGAGCCGCGTTGCGAACACAACTCCCCAGCTTTGCCCCTCCAAGTTTGCTAATAGAATTTGCAGATTCTCAATTGCCACTACATCCTGGGAGGGGTGGTGGAATCAAAATGTTGATGCTGCATTGCTTCTTCCACCCTCAAATTGTCGTACAGCGAGGATTCCACTGCCTCCTTGCGTGTTTAGCTTCTTATTGGCGCCTGTTACACTGTACTTGATGTTCGTGACGAAGTCCAACAAGGTTTGACAGCCTTGGCGCTAAAGCACTTTCTGCCGTGCAGTCTTCACTGTCAGGATGATATCGGTAAAAACGTTGCCATCATTTCCCACCCACCACTTGGTTGCTGTGGCCTGTGGCATTGAAGCGACCCATCTGGGTTTGCTGCTCATCTTGACTCATATTGGCCTTGCGCGCTTGTGGCCCCATGAGCAGGGTCAGCTGCTCCTTGCAATCTATGCTTTGGCTGATCTGGCTGCCAATCAATCATTTGACATCATTGTGATAAGCTACTGCTGATCTCTGCATTGAGAGGACATGGTGTTTCTGGACCAAAGTAGAGGTCGTGGTGTATCCTGATACAATTTGTCTGGAAATGTCTGCTGTGAGTGTCATTAGTCATGTTGTTCGGAAGAAGATCCCTGACAGGAGGTTTCAAGAAGCGGGGGGTGGTGCTGAGTTTGATTTGACAGTTCCACAACACCTTGGAACCGTTGTTTCTAGCATTGCAGCGAAGAGTCTTGCAGCGGGAGCGCGGCATGTGACAACTTTGGAGCAAGAAGTGTGAAAATATTGTACAAACATAATATGTAATAAGAGAATTCGATACAAGGCTGAAGACGGCTTAAGTCCTGTCTAGGGGTCTAAGAGAGGGACACAAGAAGGTAAGGGCACCTTTGCCCTTACCTTCTCTTTTCCTCTCTGAGACTCCTAGAGAGGAATTGTGGTCCTCTGTCCGTCCTGGTGTCTTGGACGAGGCTGAGTGTGGATAGATTGTCTCCTGCAAGGAAACAAGGAAGTATGACGTCGACACCCGACACCCGACACCACAAAAAAAGTCAAGTGAAAAGCTTCATGATAGTTTTAGAGGCAAATAGCAAAGATATGGAAGAACAATGCCGCCTGAGACCTCAGAAATATGCTTGTGCACCACAGGCAGTCAAAGTTCTCAAAAACTCATGACTGAGAATATAGCTCAACTTCCCACGGTCTTGGAAACCTGTTGAACGTCATGTTGTCCTTGATGCAACTCACTTGTGGTATACAGTATACAGCAAAGGCTCAAAAAGTTGAGCCTGTAAAGCTGACAAGCTATTGTCTTGCAAGTTAATGGTCCTCCACAATCAAAGGGGATTCGAGACTTCGTGCACGTGTGCTGCAAACCTGTAGGCCCAAAGAGGAATTGCATGGAATTGCTCCATGCTTTTACTACGGCCGAAAACCCCAAGCTCAAAGGGAAAGGACAAACGTTCCTACCTCCGAGCACTTGGAGTTGAAACTGGATGAAAAGGATCATAGTTCCAGCCAGTAACTCAGTGACTTTCCACAATTTGCCAAACGACCCCAAGCAATAATCAGTGCAAGAGTGCAAGACGGAGTTTGAGCAAGTGTGCAAGGCAATCTGAAGAACAAAAGTCGAATCGTGTCAAATCTCATCAAATCTCCAAGCAGCCAATTCATCCCGAAAAGCCGTTATCTTTCGATCTGCGTCTGTGCTCATGAGTGCTCTTCGGTTTGTGACTCTCTATGAAGACCTCATCTTGACTCTCTAAGCTTCAAACGTAGGACTGATCTGTGTAGAAAGCCGGGTGTAGCACCTCCGGGAAAGCTCTAGGCATTATATCCGCCGACCCCGCCGCCGGGGGAGCGCGCCAGAGAATCCTGTCCAATTGCGTTTAGAACTGTTCCAAAGTGGTCAAGGGGGTAAACTTCAGGCAACGGGGGTAAACCCGAGACAAGGGGGGTAAACCTCAGGCAACGGGGGTAAATGCCTGGCAAGAAGGTAAACCCGGGCGACTACTGTTAGCTACGACTGTTAGCTGCATACGGTATATGACTGTTATCATATATCATCTTCGACAAAGTCTGTTATCTGTTCCCTACTACTGTTACCGCCGCCCAAAGGTGACGTTTGCCCCTGCCAAACTGTTTCGAGGACCGTTTTGCGGGCAGTTTTGGCTCGGAATTAGATTGGGTAAAAACGTGGCGAAGGGAGCTTTCCAAAGTGGTCAAGGGAGGTAAACCTCAGGCAACGGGGCAAACCCCTGGCAAGAAGGTAAACCCCGTCAAGGAAGGTAAACCCGGATACTGTTAGCTACGACTGTTAGCTGTATACGACTGTTGTCATATCATCTTCTACAACGACTCCAAAATATACTGTTATACTCCTGGTGCACTCTTTTGCTATTATACTGCTATTATATCCTCTGTGGAATAACCGGTGGGGGTTGAGAACCCCATTTAGTGATAAATGACTGAACCAGGCTCTGGGAGCACAATGCCCCACTATAGAATCTAGCTTTCAACCTTTGTAGTGTACAGCATAGTTTCTCTAATTATAGAATAAAGGGAGTCAACCTTTAAGGCACTAATGTAACAGAATTGTAGGCTCAAAATCTGAACTATCCAATAGAAACAGCCAGGGGTGGTCCTCATTCTCTAGACAAGTGGGTGTAACATCAAGGCTGACATATTACGTTAGAGGAAAGTTAGGCAGCAATGGCAAAAGAGGTTTGCATTTTATTCTATAGAAACATGATTGAACATTGCAAGGTTGAAATCCATTTTTTTAATGGACAGACTCCAAAAACAAGATATGATATGTCTATAGAGGTTGATATGCATTTTATAAGGACAGGGTTGGACACTCACAGGTTGATGTTTTATTTTAGAACGGTGGGCTGAATTTTGAACAAAAAAATATTCTATAGTGGGCCAATATTCACCGGTTATTCCACAGGAAATGTGGGAATGCATGCACCAGATTGCACAAGAATGCGCCGGATATTTCGTGAAATCAGAATCAGAATCCAACCTACCTCACTGTAAAACATCCATCCACTCTAAAGTAAACTCTCAACCTTCTACTGTTCCAGGTTCTCTCTATAGAATCAAAACCCTGTCCTCTATAAAATGTCCTCAATTGTCATGTATTCTCTATAAAATGAGGGTGATCAACCTTTTGACCCATCAATATATGATTTTCTCACCTCAAAGATCCTCAGGTTGACATTTGATTTTAGAAAGAACTCTCTATAAAGTGCCAGATCATTTTGGAGCTCGATCTCCCCCATTCTATAGGGGTTATTCGGCAGAGGATGCTATTATACTGTTCTACTGCTGTTCTGCTCTTCGACTTCTGTTATACTGTTATTCTGTTATTCCTGTTCTTCACTACTACTGTTAAAACCACAATCATCTTCCGGACATGCTTTTCTTGCCTACAACCGCCAGCTGCGCACGCAATCTGACTGGGGTCGGCGGCAGGGGGCGTCAGCCCTTATATCCGGGCGCCGGCCACGGAGCCCGTGGCATGCCCGGTGGTAACCGAAGGTGATATACGCTCGCGCCCCCTGCCGCCGACCCTCGGGCCCGGACCCCCTTCCCACTTCCTCGGCACTGAAGCCCCTGTAACTTACAGTGCTTCGTGTGTGTGTGAGGAAAAAAAACACTGTGCTTTACAGGGTTTATTGCGCATATCGAAGTGCGACGCGGTGTAGAGGGAGAAATGCCAAAATGCTGTGTTTTTCAAGGGTGGCGTCGGTTATGCGCGCCGCGCGGACAAGCTTAATCGACATTTCGTGGGTGTTGGGCACGCGCCAACAGCAAAGGCGGAACATGTGCTCCAAGATGATCTGACAGAGGCCCTCAAGAGGACCCAACATAGGTCCCTATGGCACACATAGCCGCAAAATGACCCTACCTAGGTCCCAGATATGGGCAACATAGCCCCAAGATGGGCCCAGATTGCCTCAAGATGTGGCAACATAGGCCCCACACAGTTTCAAAGAGAGAGAGGGAGAGAGAGAGAGAGAGAGAGAGAGAGAGACAGAGACAGAGACAGAGACAGAGACAGAGAGAGAGAGAGAGGAGAGAGAGAGGAGAGGGAGGGAGGGAGGGAGGGAGAGAGAGAGAGAGACAGGACCCAGCCCTACACAGACCCAAGTGGGCCGGCGCCCGGCTGTTAGGCGTAAGCCTTTAAGTATCTTATGATACAAGCAACTATAAAGCAACGGCCCAAGATGGCCCAAGCTAGACGCAAGCTACGCTCAACGTAGCCCCAAGACCGCGCAACAAAGGCTCCAGATGGCCTAAGCTAGACCCAAGCTGTGCGCAACATAGCCCCAAGCCCGCCCAACATCCACTCCCTCAGCCTGCACCCGCACCCAATCTTCCACCCTCCAGCCCCCTACCTCAACGCCCCTGGCCGGCTGTCGGGCGTAAGCCCTTAAATATCTTATGATACAAGCAACTATAAAGCAACGGCTGATTCAAGATTTAGAGGCAATTTGGCAATAGCTGGCCTTTGCCTCTTCAATTCTTCGCTTTGTCTCCTGCAGAAATGAGCAAAATATGAAACTGTGGGACCAGCATGGACCAACTGCAATGTTGCTCCGCAGTGATAACATGTGATAGCGGCATCAATACTCTTGCAATCTCTTGCACACATTCCGTCGCACAATGCTTAAAGGTCGCTGTATATGTGAGATTATGTGATAGCATCTTCTGCTTGCTGAAATAGCATGCAAACGTATCCTGGGTACAAGAAAACAAACTCAAGCTAGCAGCATGCAAGGGTTCTTCAGCTGAAAAGCAGACTCATTATCAGAAAAACATGACACCAATAGAAACCCATGGTGTCCTTGCAGGACAATTCGAAGCTGAAGAATCATGCTTATCAATCAAATCAAGTCACGGGGCCCTCCTCCAATTTCTCAGGCAGCACTGGGAGCTCCATTCCTACCAGCGGCAGGGTGCTTTGTTCACATGTTGTCCTACTATACTCAATTCGGCCCGTTTTCCATGTTCAATTATTCTGATCTACGTATATAATTTGAATGAATTGCCGGCACAAATAAACTGTGTCCTGGAATCGTCGAAAATGCCCTAGGCATGCATTCGAACCAATAAACACCGCCTGTCTAGCTGAGAAGCTGGACCCAAACAAACATTCCCTCAGACAAAAATGCGCCTGTCACATCCAAAATGCTTTGCGCATATTTGTTTCTAATTTCTGCGGATCGAAAGAGTGGCCTCCGCAACGTGAACATTGTCTTAATTGTTGATCTTTGCAGTGCAAAAGGGCCAAAGGGGCAGTCCAGCCTTTAAGTCTCAGCCAGGGGCATGTCTTGCAAGATTCATCGCCACCGCAAAATGTCCTGCGTTAAAGGTGCAAGGCCAAGGTCTTTCAACATCTTTCAAACAGAAATCATTCACACGCCTGGTTAGCTTTTGAGTCACACTCCAAACCCAAAAATCCTGAATGCTGGAGCAGCTGCATGCGGAAGTAAAAGGCGGGGCTACATCTGCGCCGGCCACCAGGACATCCCAGAAATTAATGGCAGGTGCCTACACAAGACTGTAGGCCTCAGATTCCTTGCATAGTACCACAATTCATTTCAGTGGGCTTCGGCTGGGCTACTGTGGCTTTCCCGCTGCGGCTCCTTCTGTTGTGCTGGTGCAGGCGTTCTGTTTGGCGACACTTTGGCTTGAGCAGTTCTCTGCTCCAGTTGGACACTGCCTAGGAGCCTGGGAATCAGTTGAAAGTTGGACGGTTCGGAGAGCCGGAATTCTTCCGCCAACAGAACTGCCTGCGGATGGGCCTTTCCCGTTAAAGGTTACATCATACATGCAAATACATCATAAATGATTTCAGCCATGTTCAGTATTTATGACCTTTCATCCAGAAATGACTCTGCCCAAAAGCTGTTTTTGGAACACGATGGGTTGCTATAGTATGAGCCAAAAGGGCAACAAGAGCCAAATCTGCCTGGATCAGTAGCCAAAGTTTGCAAGAGGACAAACCAAATGTTTAAATTGCTCTGGCAATGCTGGTGCTCGGATTTTTTTGTCTATCTTCGACATCCAATGCCGAGTGCAGGTGAGATCTGAAGCGAGGCTTCGTTGCTCCACGCAGGAAAACAATATCCATCTTTTACATCATTGAACTCCACAAGCTTGCTTCAAAGCCTGCCACCTTTGGCATTGCAATATTGCAAGACTGCTGTATGCCTTCAAGTTCAAGCATCCACTATATACAGTACACCCCATGTCTTGTGCTTTTTCGATCTAGCTGCACAGCCAATAATTATCTAGGGCTCCCTTTCCAGAGCCATTCATTGGCCGCACCACTGAGGTTCTTTCTGTAATTTCTATGGTCAAACGTTACAGACAAACTAATTAAGTGTGTCACCCACTGTGTCAAGCAACCAATCGCCAACTCCCCTACTTATAAGCATTCCATTAACAAAGCTCAGCACGCTGCTCAGTTCAGAGTGGCGGCTGCCTGCCGAGGTGCCAGAGCAGGCCGTGCTTTCGGTTTTGTGTATTTCCCCATAAAGGGTTCTTAGTTCTTGGATGGCACGTGATGGCGCCCTATTGGTGATCTACAGCCAACATAGTGAAATCCACGGAAATCAACACCTCTACATCACATTTGGTGCAAGCCTGGCGTGCATCAGGAAGGTGTGTGGTTGTAAGGGGCGACCAAAACGTGTCACACAAGTACTTGTTTGTATGCTCGCAAGGTTCAAAACCGCTTCCACAGTTCAAACACGTTTAATATGTTGCTGTAAAAAAATGCAAAAAAATACACAAGGCGACAGGCCTCTAGGTGGTGCTTTGAGCTTTTCTTCTTTCCTGGAAAACCGTGTAAGTGTTTTGCTTAACTGATCCAAGCTTGGCACACAGCTAGAGCATAGCTCGAGCAGCGCCTTCTCTATGACACGCGCAGCGCCAATCGTCACCTTCATCTGCTGGAAGCAGTCAAAGGCGATACCAGATTTGCCTCCGCCGCACATAGCTCTCGTTCTTTTTGAAGTTACTTCAGAAAAGCCTTTCTTTCTGCATTGACCTGCCTGGAGTGACCAAGTTTCTCCAGAGTCTTTCCTCAGTTTTACTGTCGCAGTCGACTTTTTTTGGAGTCAAGTCACACCTACAGTATAGATTTTGGCTTGGAAGTTTCCTGTAGTTTCTAGGTCTCTAAGTTCTCTGTGTAGCTTCCAAGGCAGTGCATGGAAGTCACCATGCCGCTTGGTGGCTTGTCGCCATGCGCACATGTCATTCTGTTGAACCGTTCCGGCATTGTCTTACCAATTCGGCAAGGTGCTATGCAAGATTCTGGAGGTGTGAATGTAAATTCACCTTCAATGGAGCATTGAAAATCACGAAATATGAGCAACGTGGAATTGCAAGGCTGTTTGTTGCTTTGGTCACAATTGCCTTCGGCGTACCGGATGACCTCTTGCTTGGACAAAAAGCCATCATCATCCGCATCATACAGGGCAAACGTGTCCTGTGCGAAGTGTCAAGTGTACTGCTCATGGCCAATTGACTACGCATGGCCAATGCTACCAATGCACGAAAAAGCGGCATAGCAGTGTGAGGTAATGAGAGCAGCCTGATGCTGTGCCACCCACCGTGCAATGCATATTATAAAATTACTATATGCTTCAGTCTTGACGTCTCCTGTATGCGCTGAGATAGCTCCACTGCCGCCTCACGGCGAGCGAGTTTCTCCTTGCCTTCCCTCACGACGCTGGCCTGTCCAAGCTTCAAGTGAACGAGAAAAAAGAAACTTCTTGCTCCTAGTAGCGTCCTCTTGCTCCTAGTAGTAATGCCAGGAGCCCCTAGTAGTGTCCTTGCTCCTAGTAGCGATGCCCTTTGTTCCTAGTAGCTTCTTGTTCCTGTAAACCAAAGGGCAAGTGCCCAAGGATGCCCAATGCATCAGCACACGCATTGAGGGTGTTTTTTGATGTCGCTTTTGCAAGCTCCGGTAGGGCCCTTGCTGCATTCGTTGCCGTTTGGGTCAAATCGCCTTGTTCGAAAAGCCAAGTGACACAAAGAGTGAAAACAAATAGAACTAATCGATACAAATCAAACTTCATTGACCTCAAAATCACAAATCGCGATGCGATGCAAATCGAGTGAAGCATTGCTTTTCCTCCAAGTTGCCGCTCAGCTTTCTGATCTTGGCAACTAGGAGTCGCAAGTCCACCAACGCTGGACCCTTAGTGCCACTCTTCAATTCCTGGCAAGTATTGTGACCATTGAGACTTTGAAACCGACCTTGACGCTTCAAGCCACAAGTCAACAGTCAACAGCATTCTCCTCAAGGGATTTGGATCGTTCCTCCATAAAGGACTTGTAGGTGTCACTCATTCCCAGCGCCTGTCCAAGACCAACGTACGGAGTAAGCACTGCAAACTGGCTCACAAAGATATCACTCTCGGAAGTCTTATTCGTGCCTCCAACCCAGCGTTCTCCAATTGATCATGCATCTCCTCTTGATCTTTATCCTGCTGTACTGGACAGTGCTGCAGGTGTCGAACCCATGCATTCTCCGCTAAAAGAGAAGCATCTGCCTTATCTCGAGCCAGGTTTTGCCGGATCAACTCCGCGGTGGCCTGAGAGGTCTTTTTCAGATTCTGTTGAATGGCACAAACCATAATCTCAACAAGCTTATTCAAACCAAACAGAATGATGATTACTTTTGTCAGAGTTCTTCCATGCTTCTTCTTTTGTACATGCAAATGCACCTACATTGACCTACTGACCTACTGACCTACGTCTATGGTCTTGGAAAGACTCGAAGCAAAAGACTGCCTTGATGTGCTCGTCACCACTCCTGGATCAAATGGATCGCGGTGTGCAGGTTGAGAAGAACTTAAATGCCCGAAGCGTCTGAGCAACTACCTCTGGTTCGTGTTCACCACCGCTAATAGTATGCGAACGGATGAAAAGGTGTGCCCTGGCCCCGTTCTAGCCCTTAGTTCAACATGAAGCTCGCGCGCTAAAGCTCCTTGTTACCTGGTTGGGCACTTGAGCCAAAAGTATATGGCATGTACCTATATAGCAACTATACTGGGACCTCATCCCTATTGACACCCCCCACATCCGTACTTCGACGGGGAAGGGAGATGAGTGGATGTAAACAAAAAACCGGAGAACGGATCACGTTCTCAAAAGTGTATTGGAGGTCAACCAGTATGTCCTATTGAACCGAATTAGCAAACGATCTTGCATTCGCTTGAAAGTTGGATCAAACAGGTAATGGAGCTACAAGCGGAAAACGTGCACCTACCTATGGTATCATGCGATTACCAGCGGTGTGAAACACAATCCTATCTCACTCCCATGATGCCAAAACGGTCACCATGAATTACCCAAGATCCCTCAGTACACGAAGTACCAGAAGTGGCATGTCGGTATGACCCCAATGCTCAACCATTCGTGAGTTGTCGCATGTAGTCAGCGCCGACAAAGCCAATGTAGTCCTTGATGAGCTCAACGTTCCTCGGATTTCCCGCTCGGATCTGCTCCTCGAAGAACTTCAATTTCTGTGCTTGGATATCGGATACCTCTATGCCGTAGTAGCGGCATGCAACGAGGATCTCCTTCGTGACATTCTTTCGCTCCGATTTGATGGCGGGGCTAATGTCGATGAATTTGTATGGAGCGGTACTTTCGTCATCTGGTTTCTGGTAGTAACTATATCGGCTCGCTCCGAAGGTCTTCCTGATCAAGCGTCTGATGAAATTTGAGATGAATGCCAGTTTCTCGATGATCTCTTCCTGGGTCTCAGACCTTCGAGCCTTTGGATCACTCATGTTGCGCCGAGTGCTGCCGACCTCTTTGAGGTACTTGTGGCTGAGCCCGCAGCGTATTGCGGTGATCATCATCGGGTGAACAACGTGGGCGTGGAACTCATAGATATGCCACGCTTCTGTTGCAAACACGTCGTTGGTCCATTTGCTCATGCCTACGACTTCGGCTCTCTGGAGACGTCTTGGAAACCCAGTATCCGGATCATTCGGTACTATTGGCCATCGATTGTATGGAGTGTCATGCCGCTGTCCATCGTCGAACTTTCGCAGCACATCATCACGACTCTCAAAGCAGTTGATGTCGAACGTTGCGTTGGCCAAGCTCTTGATCAACTTCATCAACCTCAGATCAAATTGTTGTGTGACTGCAAAGTTGTGGTCGATGGGGATCGCAGCTTCTTGTGGCAATTCGTCAATTGCGAAGGGGAAAGGCTGTGGAAGTTCATTCCCGTATCCATCTTGAGGGACCTCCCGATATTCGGGCTCGCCTTCAGCTTCGTCCGGTCGTTCCTTCAAAATGATAGGAACTTCCTCCTCTTCCTCTCCTTCGGATTCCTCGACCTCAATGACCTCTTCGGCTGTCTTGCGTGCATTCTTGATGACTTCATCGATGTTTGCGCCTGCAGCAGAAGTTGCTTCACCGGAAGAACTGGCTGGGACATCTTTCGGAGGCGATCGTTGATTGCGGTCCCTTGTCTCCTTGGGTACCACATGCGTGAGTTTCCCATTCGCGATCAAAACCGCTACGCAGTGTGGACATATCGTCAACCGCACATCGACTTCGCCAAGACAGTTAGGACACGGCCTTGAGTCATAGTCTTTCATTGCCCGGCGGTACACGATCTCCTCAAAGATTTCCTGCCACTCGGTGCTGTCATATTCTGGGTATACACCACTCTCCTCGATCATACCCAACAGTTTTGAGATTTTGGCGTCGTCCTCGGAGTAGGTATCGTCCTGAACTTCAACCGCTAAGCTCTCAAGCTTTTGAAAGCGTGGGATCATGATCGGGTTTCCGTATTTGGACTCCAGAACAAGGTAGCTTCCAGGATCGGGTTCCCTATTGAGTAACCTGATCCATTCGATCTCCTCAGGCTGTCCGGGTTCCGCATTGTCGCATTGCAACCATGCCCCTTTAACCTCATCGAAGGGAACGACGCTCTCAACCAATAGAGAGCCAGTCGCTGAGATGAGAAGTCCGTACTCCTGCAGCTTCCACACCGGAATGTAGAGAACCACTGGGCGATCACTCAATGCGACCTTACGACCCAGCCAAGGTTTTCCCTTGTAGCCCTGCTCCCAGGCCCATGGCGGAAAACATGTGAAGTGGATAGAATCCCTTCCCGATGAACCGAGACCTCCTGGCACTAGCCCCCGTCGCATGATTGAAGTCAGCGCTCCAAGATTGGTAGCGTGAAATGCTGTCACCATAGATAGGGCCATGTCGTTGGTCATTCTCGATCCAATGTGGTCGATGTTAATGGTAACGTCATAACCTCCGCCGTCCGTTGAGTGTGCTGAGGTTGCTCTTACGGCCACGGGAAAGCACCGTCCATCGCTGTGGTGGAGTCTTCCTTTAGAGATTCCCATGCCCTTGAGTTCGTCAATCCATTCCTTCTCCATCGGGTCATCAGGGTCATTGAGTTCGTCAGGGTGAACGCGGACCGCCAACATTTGGAATCTGATCCTCTTGGTTATGCGGAAACACTCATAGTTCTGGTCGAAGTACTTCTCCAAACGCGCCTTCTTGGTCACGGTATCTACGTTGCCGTAGTGATAACCGTCTTCCCAAACTGCATTATCACCTAACAGGTCTTCCCACGACACCCATGCGCCTTCATCGCATTTGATTGGTGCGAGTCTTCCACCTGTCCTGAACTGGCGTCCAATTCGATGTCTCAACTTCGCTCCCAATCGACGACTCAGGGCTTGGCTCGCTTGGCTGTATTCAGGTACTCGACAGTATGGAGTTGGATACTTGTGGTTGCCGTAGTCGGAGTTCGTTGCAGCGAAAGTGACTCCGTTGATCGGTACTAGTTCAACTTTCCCGACCATCGTCATGGGGTCGATCGGCTTGTATCCCTTCTCCCTCCGTGTCGGTAGGGGATAGAAGTGATGACATGCCTTTGGCGCGAGGGAACTGGAGTGCACAAATGCCTTCTCTACGAATTCGTACACCACCCTCATATCCCTAGGGCCTACTTCCGCAAGCTTCCGCCCATTGTAGGAATGTGTCCCTCCTTCGACTCCATCAGCACTTTCGATCAAGGTGAATCCGTCATGGTCGAACATTGTCACGACTCTTGCTTTCAACATTTCTTTTCGCCTGAACTCGCTGTCGACCTTCCTATCTGGAGTAGGCGATGCTCTCTGCTTCTTCTTCTTAGGCTCCTCGGTCGGATGTCCAGATGGTACATCGTCGGGTGCAACCTCTCCCTTCACTCTCTTCTTCCAATCACTCAACACTGAGGTGACTGTAGGTGAAGATGAAGGGGTCTTCTCGCAATTGAGAGTTGTGTGTCCCGACTTCATGCAGTGGATGCAGAATTCTGCTTGCCCGATCTTCTCCTCAAATTCGTCGATGGCTTGCAGTATTGATGTCTTCGGGTCGGACATGTCAACGTCTTGCTCCTCCTTCTCCTGTTCAAATTCAGTCTCCATATCGACACCTTCGGCCTCGGGCTGGTCAGTAGCCTCTGTTCCCTGTTCTGGTTCTTTCCCAATTTCGAAGAAGTGGTCGATGTCGAATTCAGGAGGCGGCATGGTCCTCATGCGAACGAGAATCAGTGCCACGTTTGCCGCCTCTTCAGAGTGCGGGTCCAAGGTCCTGATCGTCGATCGCTTTCGGTTCTCATACGTTGTCCTGTCGTACAGCGATGCAGTGACGCGCTTGATGGATTCTTCTAATCCTGTCCTCAAAGCTTCGATGTCACCCCATCCCTTGAACATGTGCCTGAAGAGTTGAGCAATTTCGAACATGCCCAGCAGCGCTTCCACCATGTCACCTACCCGTTCCTCCGTGGGATCATCTCCGAATATAGTGCGGAATACATCGGGCTCCAGTATGGTCTTGAGGTATTTGGTGTAGCACACGTTGCCAAGGTCATATGATCCCTGGTAGTACTTGGCGCTGCCGACTATCTGCTTTTCCACATGGATGCTGGGTCCCCTCCTCGTCTTGAAGAAGTTCTCCGTCATTGTTGATGACAACCTGATCCCCCCGAAGAACGAGATCTCCTTCTGGAAACCTGGATTCTCGTTAAAGATGATCATCGCCTCGTGTAAGAACTTCATCAAGTCTTCGTGCGGGTTCATCTCGGAGATCATGACGGTGGGAGAAGATACCGTTTGCCCCATGCCGAAGTTGTGAAGCAATCGCGCACATGCATGGAATCGCTTCTGGGCGTAGTCTTCTGCGGACATCCCACGGCACCTATTTGCTGCTCCGTTGATGCATTCTGCATAGCAATCGTCTTTCAAATCGGAGTCTATGGGATTGCAGACCAAACAGTAATCGCAGCAAATCTCCTCACCCTCCTTAAAGTCATCAATGACGTACCACCTTTGAGTCCTCGAGTATATTGGTTCTGGTTGAAGGACTCCCCAGTACTCATCCATCCATGGCATTTTGTTCTCTCTCCTTACCTTCTCCCTCTTCCTCCGCTCAGACTCATTCTCACCTGGAGGCTCCGCAGTGGACTGATATGCATGGCTTCCTCTTACGGACTCTCCGAACAAGTACTGATACAGCCTCTCTTTGTCCTGCAACACGTGTTCCAAGTTGGGATCATGGAGGCTATTCGCTTCAGTCAAGGGATCCGGTGCCATAAAACAAGAAGCGAGCATCTTTTCTCTGAACAAGTACTTTTCCATGACAGCGTGGACCAAAGAGGTTCCAGACTTCATAGAGTAGGGGTGACCGCTTCCGGCGACCGAAATGGCTCGCCAGAATCTGTCCGACGTTGTGGACATCATGCCATTCAACGACAGCTCGTCCTTGATCATGTTGGCGATCTTACCG